GGTTTTCCAGGAAAATTATCAGAATTTTCGATTGTTCAGCTTGGCCAGCGATTCTCGATATATACAGTCATGGGCTCTTAATTCACGGGTCAAATCTAGATAAAAAAAAAAAGTTCGTTCATGCGGACATGAAAGGATCTTACCATCTTTAATCACGATTCACGAATAAGAAAAAATTCAAATCAGGATTTGCGAGAAAAATTTTCGCCCAATCACGCTTCACGTAAAAGTATAGGGGATCCTCTATCATCTTTTCGGTGTTGAACATCCCGTTCCTGGGAGCAACGGAGGTTATTGGTCGAGAGCCACATGGGTTTAGGTCTGGTAACTAGTTTCATTTCAAAATGGCGGTCAGAACTAATTGTGTGGTTGCAGAGAGTCCTTAAATATTGCTTCTTGAAATACCCTTAATAGGTGATTGGAGTAATATTATAACTTACTTTAAGTTACAAGGTAGGTTTCAGTGTTTCAAGAAAGGTAAATTAGTCTCGATAGCCATCAAGCTAGTCGAAAGTATGAACTTACGTGTAACCCTTATTTTAAGATGTTGAAGATGAACAGTCTGGTTTGTTGTAATCTCTCTTGCCCGTCCTTTTTTTCCTAAAGGTTTTTATTGCGAACAAACCATCTTATTTTTCAGCTTCCTCTTTTGAGAAAGGAAGACACGATGGTGCCATGATTAATGAAAACATATTCCTAAACATGATTTCTCCATTCAGTGAACTAATTAAATGCAGTGAGGGCCCTATAGTTTCTTGTTTCTGGGTATACCAAAAGAACTCTGTATTAGAAGTAAAATTTTACATTCCTTGTTTTCAAAATCATTCTTGTGTAGTTCAAGACATTTTTTTTCTTATGAAGCATGAAGTGTCCTTGTTTTGTGAAGGAGTGAATATCTGAATTTTAAGAAACAACAACTTAAGTTGGGGGAGATAGTTCTAAATTATAGAATGCCAATCATAAATTGGTACTGATGATGTGCATGTTTACNCAGCCTCCTCTTCAAGGCCTCCTATGCCAGGGTTCTGATCTCAATCAAATTTTATTTTTATTGTGCCTCCTTATATAGAAAACATACAATGAATATATGAAGTTCATATATTTTGAACTGCGGTTGTAGATACGTCTGATGCACGATCCTCGCAGTAGAGAGCGCTATTTATGCAATAGCGAAAATTTTCGCTATTGCATAAATAGCGCTCTCTACTGCGAGGATCGTGCATCAGACGTATCTACAACCGCAGTTCAAAATATATGAAGTTCATATATTCATTATATGTTTTCTATATAAGGAGGCACAATAAAAATAAAATTTGATTGAGATCAGAACCCTGGCATAGGAGGCCTTGAAGAGGAGGCTGGGATAAAAGTTTTTGGCCGAGTGAAAAGAGTCAGTCTTAACATAGAAACATAATCAAAGAAGTAACTACTTTTGGAGATATCTTTATGATTGGATAATGCAATATTACAACTTAGGTTGCAGAGATTTTTACAGCTGCCGGAGAAGCTTTCTCACATTTGGGCGAGTTAACAATGCAGCTGCATCCATTGAATAATGACACTGCTGTGTCACCCTCAACAACAACTACAAGGTATTGGAGTTAATATTATATTAAGTATAGCTCAGTTGCATTCATTGAATAATGACACTGCTATGTCACCCTCAACAACAACTACAGGTATTGGAGTTAATATATTAAGTGTAGCTCAGCTGCGTCCATTGAATAATGATACTGCTGACCACTTTTTCAAAGAAAGTTTGGAAAACTTGGGGCTACAATTAAATTTAAGTTTGTTGATACCATGACAACAGTTTTTGATGAAAAAATTTAAAGATGTGACCTGCTCCTTTGGGGGGTTCATCTAGACTTTCGAATCTGGAGTGTTTCAATAGTATCTTTGTTTGAGGTGTTACAATCATCTTTGTTACGATGAAAGGCTTTTATTAATTGAAAGCGGCCAAGGAAGTTTTCAATCTTGCTTAACTGACAAGTAGTGGTTATATTATTTTTAGAAATGGGAACAAAATTTAATTTGAATTTTATTTGACTTTTTAATCACTTTAAAGTGCTACTGAGACTAAATTTGGCATTTGCCAGAATTTTCACTTTTTAGAAACCTTACTTACCACTCTCACAAAATTTGGAATGAAAATTCAAAGTGGAAGTTTGTTTTTCTTAGACTTGTTTTCCTCGATTAAAGTCCGCCATTACTCAAAACTGCAAAATGGCCACACGTAAGTCTGACATCATATTATCCCCTAAACTTTCGCGCAGGCTTGTAGAAATGGATGGAGATTTTTGTACATGAATAGTTCTAGGAGAGTGTAATCATCATTTTGAGACGGGAAATGGCACCCTAGAGTTGTGTTGTGCAGGGTCGTGCAATGAAATATTGCTACACAGGCTAAACGAAACAGTTATGAGAGGTGATAGATGGCATTCATAGCCTACATTGCTCAAACCTCCACCTGAAAGGAGTGTTGACGTAGATTAGGCATGTAAAGGGATTGCCCCGGGTGCCATTCCTACAATATGGAAAACACTTTTCAGCTGGCTATGTCTCCAAGAGGTTGGTAAAGGGCTAGTGTTGTTAGATCATGATCATTCCGTTCGTTCTCACCTCATGTTTTCTAGACCTCAAGAACATTGAGTGATTGAATTTTCCATGAGTTAAATTTGTTTTGTTTTTCTTTGTTATCTATTATTTTATTTGTTCTCATAATTTGCCATGTATGATTTGTACACAAACAAATTTTTTCTGCTGGAATAAAGTCTTACCTTTCCTTTTAAAAATTTCTTTAATGTAGCAATAATTTATTAGCTTCGTTTCATGAATATCAATAGCTCTATATAAATTATATTGCTGTGGGAGTATGAAAAATTGTCTACATTCCTAACTTAACCAGGCCTGACAAAAGCCATGGAAAAGACCTCTCCAGTTGAGAAGACAAGCTTTCTGGCAGGCCACCATTCTGTGGTTAATCAATTTGCCCCAGAGATGTAGACCAGCTTATACCTATACTCTGCAGGTTTATAAAATTTCATGTAAAGCACAGTAAAGGTACTTAACTCCACTCGATAAGAACAGCAAAGCACCAGGCACTATTCTGTTAAAAGCAGAATACTTTCATTAACTAAAAAATTATCAGGAGTAATTATATTTTTGGGGGCAGGTCAAATTAGTTCCTCCATGATATCATAGCATGGCAACACTGATAATTTCAAAGAGGAAAAGATGGAACATGTACATTTATTTTTTTACAGTTATGGTTTACCGATTATTCTGTTTTCTAATTCTTGGTTCTAGAAATAATTTGGTAGTCAATTACTTTTTCTCGATTGTTGTGCTAAATAAGAGCTATCAATCCTGCCACTGGCAGCTTTAAAGGAAACAAAGGTGGAAAATCAAGGCTAGCCATGTCTTTGGGTAACCTACCCAAAGTACAAGGATGTAAAGGAAATGTCTTGACAGGCCAGGGTAGCATTAAATTTACCTAATCATTCTAAGTAACATATGGCAATTTGCGGTCTTTCCTTACACTTGGGTAGCATGGAAAGCCGTAAAAATCTTGAACAAAAGCTCATCCTTCAAACCGGCAGTCTAAATCCCACAGGGAATCAACAAACACTTTTCATTCCACTAATTTATTCTTGTTTTTCTCGTTGCCATGTTCCCACCAATAACGTAGCTCCATTTTCTGCCTTTAAAAGCACACACAACCCACAATTCCTCTATTCGCTCCAACGAAGGGCTAACGCTCGAAACGTCAGCTTTTGTAATCGTTACGGTGGCCAATTTACCATTTCAACTTTGTTGATATATCCAAATTATTTCGTTACTCCCACCGACGCAGCCCCAAACAGTTTCTTTCGAAACTATCAGCCTTTATTCATTTGA